GTTACTCTGAGGGTTTTTTGTTGTCCTCAAAACCCCTGCTTTCGAAAGTCCTTCAATTTGTGGTTCAATCCCTTGGATTGCTTCATCTTTCAATGGATACTGATTTTTCCATGGAGGTCTGGCTCCTGGTCGAAGTTCAACTTTCACAGGTTGGGCTGATTTCACAAGTCCAATATCGGTACTATGTTGAGACCACAACCCTTCTGGAACTTGTTGCAACATCTCCTCTTTCATAGAGTCTGAATCCATCTTCATATTGCAAATAGATTCATGTGTCATTCCTACAGCCTGTGGCTCTCCTTGTCCTTGAGCCGAAATCATTATTTTAAGAAATCGTTGATCTTCACTTCTCCAGATCGCCAAATTCTCTTTCATTGGTCTGAAACTAAGTTTCTCTGCTTCTGTCATAATTTCTCCTATTTGCTTTTGCTCATAGCCTTCCGAAACCAACAAGGTAACATGTGGCACACTCTTCTCAATCTCAAATTCTTTATTCAGATAGTCGTCTGTGTTTATCTTCATAGCTGCTCCTTGTGGTCCTAAAATAATGCAACTTGAGCTAAGTTGAACATTCTTCGGTTGATGACTCAACCATTCCTCTGAGTGTGGTTGGGAAGCCTTCTTGAAATACTTGAGCGTACAATGGAATGGATATTCCGGAAGCTTCGCATCCGGCATATTTGCAACAATAAATCTTTCCCATATCTTAGCCTGCTTCATAAAATCTTCACTGAGATTTCCAATCCAGAATACTGAAGACGAATCCATCTCTGTCATCATTGACAATTGGTAAACCTTTTCCTTTGGCATTTCTATCAGACAGCCATCTGGTGTACATCTTATTGTACAGTTCAACTTACACAATGCATCTCTTCCCAATAATGCAACAGGTGTATGTTCTGATACCAGTATGGGTATTGTAATTTTCTGATCTTTATAGCAGAGCTCAATTGGTTCCGTAAGAGGAATCAGCTGTTTTACTCCCTCAAATCCGATTGTCCTAATGAGTTGATTGGACATAGGGAGATGTGTAGCATCTTCAGGCCGAACACAGGTGAACGCAGCTCCGCTATCCGCCATCACTTCCAATGGTCGGTTGTTTATTTTCACCTCAATTGTTGGGTCTTTTTCCGGTCCTGATGCTACCAGCTGACACCCCCCTTTCGGATCATCTAGGCACCTCTAGAATCCTTGCTCCGGACCCCTGTAGGGGTTCACCGGTCCTCCAGATGATCTTGACTGGCCCCTGTATCTTCCTCTGAAATTCCCTCTGATTTTTCCTCCTGACCAATTGCAGTCCCGGACATAGTGACCACCCTGTCCACAATTATAACACACATCTTCAGATTGCTGGAAGTGTGGCTGAAACCTTCCTCTTCCTTCGAAGCCTTCTCGTCCTCTTCCTCTCCAATTCTGTGTCTGTCCAGAAATTGGCTGTGGATATGAAACAACTGGTGCCGCCATTGGTGGCTGGTACAATTGCGGTTGGACCTGTTCTGGTTGAAGCTGTGGCAGTGATTGTTGATTTGGTGCACACTGATTCTGCATAACCAAAGCTTGTTTCTTATCCTTTTTATTCTCCCCCAGTTGTATTTGATTGAGTTTTCTGAGAGTTTCTTGATCCTGTTCTTTCTTGCTGTTGACATATCAGGATTCTTCAAAAGCTTATATTCTAAGTTCTGTCCTCGAAATATCATCTTCCATCATCTTCTTACTATTGGCCTTTCCTTGACCTCAATGTATTCTTCTCCTCCAATGCTTGGGATTATTTTCTCAGCAGGTTTTCTCCTTCTGTATCTTCTCTTCTTGAGTTGTTCATCCAGTTGTGTTACTTCTTCTAAACTATTCGCTTTATCCAGGCATGATAAGCATCGGTCTATATCTTCTTCTATTTATTCTGTGCCAGTCCTTGTAGGATAAACTCCTTTTGAATACACAGCACCTTTAGTCTCCTCTTTATCGCTGTCTTCATCTGAACTCGAATCTCTTGTATCCTTCTTCTTTCAACTTCCATCAGAGATCAAATCTCTAGTATCCTTCTTTCCTCTCTTGCCAACTTCCTTCTGATCACAGAGTCATATCCACCCATGATCTCTTCTCAATCACTCTGATCTTCATCTTCATCATCTTCTTCAAGTTCCATCTTCCTTAACCTCACTCTTCTCTTCCAGACATCTCATTTTCTTCCTTCTGGAGTTTTGGATTCATCTTTATCGTCGTTTCTGCTTGTCCTCTATCTATTATTCGTTCATCTTCATCTCTGATGCAATAATCACCCTGCTGGAGGATCACTGGAAGCTGAGGATAAGCATCCCTAAGCTCTACTTCCTTCTCATACGGTGGGGGTCTTTTCGCTGAATCCGTATGTGAGAAAGGTATACTGACTTCTACCCTTAGTTTCTCTGTCGACTTCTCTTCCTTTAGCCTTTTCTCCATACCTTTGCCTCTCTTATCGTTGGTATCTTTCATCAGTTTTTGTCCTTCATCTTCAAACAGCTTAAGAACACCCAGCTCCCTTTGTCTCTTTTCTTTACGTCGTTCCTTTTGGTTTCCCTTCTTCTGATCTGCCTTGTAAATTGACAGAAGCACTTTCATGATGTTGATGACGTCAGGGTTAAGAGTCCCTTCCACTGGCCATGGTTGTTCAATGTCAGGCCAACGTTTGTTCCATTTGCCGGATAACGTCGCAATACCCTTAACTAAAGGATTACTATGTTCAACTATATCAACCGGTGTAATGACTTTCATAGCCTTGCTGTCCTTTCTCCCCATTGTAACTACTCTTTTATATCCCTTTATTGTGAAATATTTTATTTTAGCCTATATAGCCTATGGCTTCCCCCCTTTAATTATTAATATAACCTAAACAACCCCCCAAAAAAAAAAAAAAAAAAAAAAAATAATTTTATTTTAAATAATCAATAAAAATATGAATATTAAAAAATTCAATTAAAAATTTTATTCAAAAAATATTTTTAATTAAAATAAAAAATAAATTAAAAAATCAATCAAAAATTATTTAAAAATTATGAATAATTAAAACCAATCCTTTACCAATTTATCAATTAGTGGCCCACTTACCATAACCCCTCCGGAAAGTGAATACAAGTAGTCAACTTCACAGCAATCCCAAAAACCAACGACTTCCAATCTACAACCTTACCACACTCATAAATTCCATTGTTTAATATGCACCCAAGTATCTTAATTTCACAGAATAATGTCAGTACCTGCTTTCCAACCGAACCCCTAATCAAGCCAAGTAATGTACAGAGACTCCAAAATGCAAATGTTATTCAAATGATCAGTCTGTTGCCAAGCGTCTGCGAAATTGTCATAACATCAAACATCCTGTAGGGGAAGATTTGTAAACAAAAAAGCACTGGCCTGATTTTGACTGATCCTCTGCCTGCGTCACACCTTGTCACGTGATGCACGTCAGCCCCTCCTCTCTCTCTCCTCTGCTCTCGTCCTATCGCCTCTCATATGACAAGGGAACAAAACGGGACAGACAAGCATTTAAAGTTTATACACTTAACTAAGTTATCCACATTCAATATTCCCCCACTCATATTCGCTATAAGACTTAATTCAGGACTAAATAGCTCAATAACATTTTAATTTAATTTTTATTTATTTTAATCGTCTTTTAATTCAATTTATTATATCCGTCAACATATATCTAATTTATAAATTCACTACATCTCAACAAATAGTTTCATTTTCGAACAATAGTCACTTTAACGATTAGAAGATTCGTGTCCAAATCTCTCTTGTCTGTGGCTATTTCTCTGTCTCCCCCTGAAGCACGCAACCCCACAGAAATATGACCCTTTACCCACAATCCCGTGTTGTAGTTTTAGCAAATCTCCTCGTGTTGTAGTTTTAGCGCCGTAAAATCAAGCGCATGCACAAATCCATTTAACAATACGATTGCCACACAATAGAACGGCAGCGTTCTACCTCAGTTCTCTATTTTACACTTATAGTCAGACAATAACTTAACAGAGCTCACACACACACAAACACATTTAAGAGGGTTATCCTATCGCAATGGGACCTCTAAGGACACCCGTTAGCATGTAGCACGCAACACAATTAGCATTTAGCCTTAGCATTTAGCATTAGCCTTTATGTACAATGTGGCCTGAACCAACATTTAGCATTAGCATTAGCATTAGCCTTTAGCTAACTGCGGCCTACCCCACACAAATAAGCCTCCTGCACTGCCCTTTTTCTTTTGACTTATTATCCTACCGTTTTGTGCTACCGTGGATTTAATGACCATTCACCGAGAAATTACACCCAAACAGACCCCCCGTCGGACGAAAGTCGAGCAATAATCACAAATCAGATAAATTCCATCAACCCGAGTTTTCTTTAAAACCCACCGACTGCACATTCTAACGTGCAACCGGATTTGTCGGCCCATTTCTAAATGGCCCCCCTGGGGTCTTAAGCGGTACAGTGCTCTAATGTATGCGCATATCTGCCTTAATTGTACACCTGCCAATATCTGCCTTAATTGTACACCTGCCAATATCTGCCTTAATTCCTACCATTTTGTGCTCTAAAATTCCAATTATCTACCGTTTACCAATGCAACCACATTTTAGAATAATTATTACAGACTCCTAGTCTATGGAGGACTAAAAGTGCCACAATTAAATAAATAAATACACCATTAAATAATTACTTAAATGTGTCATTAATTAATTAAAATTAGAATTAAATACATAAATGTGTTATTAAATGTGTCATTAATTAATTCAAATACCGATTCATTTTATGTAAAATACATATATAATTATTTCACTATTTACATTTACATTTCATGATCCTGCATTGCAGTGATTCATGAATTACTTAAAACTGTCAAACTGACCCATCAAAGTCAGTGGGCGGGGCTAACGCGAATCTAGTCTGATCCATTGCTTTGGTCTGAAGAAGAGTAGGCCAACCTGGATAGAGACAATGGAGGATCTCCGTGAACTTTCCAGGGAGTTGGTTAGAGACATTTTAAACTTAGCAGAGGATGTAGAAGCAGGACCTGCTGACCCAGAGCATGTAGCTAGTAAAGCAGAGGAACTTATTGAAGTTGTTGGAGTCATTTCCGCACTTTCCGACGAAGATATCGACCACAGAGTGATTGCAAATCTAGAAGAAGTTGTCCACCGCTTCTCTGGTACCAGGGCACTTCAGGCCCAACACACACAGGGACCGGGGCGTTTGGCGTTTGACATACCGAGTGCAGTTCTGGAGCATCAACTTCTTTGTGGAGTTCCCGCAGTTCAAATTGCAGCGATGTTCGGTGTGTCAAAGAGGACCATCAGGAGGCGCATGCAACAATACAGTTTAAGGTATTTACACTAAATTCATGAGTTTTCTGTTTATGAATTGCTGCTTTCATACACATATGACGTTTAAGGTAACATTACTTGATGTTGTGTTTTTCTTGTTTGTACAGAAAGACAGATCTCTATTCAGCTGTGAATGATGAGGAGTTAGACCGTATTGTAAGTGAAATTCACAGAAGTCATCCAAACACCGGCTACAAGCTAATGCGTGGTCACCTGAATGCAAGAGGTGTGCATGTTCCAAGTGAGTAGATAATAATATGGGCATTATTTAAATGTATTTTTAATTTGGAGCTCTGCCCCTTTGAAAGGTGAAGGAAGCCCGCTTATGGAAAGACATCGCCTCTGAGATGTAGAATGTGTAGAAGAAATGTGAAGAGAAACACACATTTCAGGACGGCTGACTTGTATCATCAGGATAGACATGTCCTGTGATTTTTAGCCTCCTGTTTAATAGAGGTGGAACAATATCTGACAGTAATATTCTCAGCTGTCCGGATGTGCCCCTGCTGTAAAGGGTATAATATAATCATAGAAAAGCAAAATATCATAGGAGGCAAAAAATCTCAGGTCATCTCTGTTCGAGCATGTGGGTATCTATCTATCTATCTATCTATCTATCTATCTATCTATCTATCTATCTATCTATCTATCTATCTATCTATCTATCTATCTATCTATCTATCTATCTATCTATCTATCTATATATGTGTGTATATATATGTATATGTGTATATATATGTATATGTGTATATATATGTATATATATGTGTGTATGTCTATATATATATATCATAAATATATGTATGTATGTTATATATGTATGTCTATGTCTGTCTATCATATACCTACTCATATATGTATGTATGTATATATGTATGTATCTGTATGTCTGTATGTGTATCTATCATATATCTGTTCTATGTCTCTCTCCTTTTTCTCATATGTGTACTCTATATGTGTCTGTATATATCTATATATATATATATCTATACATATATACCTATACATCTATATATATATATATCTATGTATGTATATGTACAATATCTGACCAGTAAAGTACATTTTTGAAGCTGTGGTGGTTCTGTCAATAGTTGACTGTTTTACACACCATTATTTATTTTATTATGACCACCACTATATCCTCAAATAAGTAGCCAGTGAGTGTGTGGTTATTCATTTTAAATTCCTCCCTCAGTCTCAAGACTGCAAGAGTCTTTACGCAGAGTCAATGCAGAGGGAGTCTACATGAGACGTCTGAGGCTGCGTGTATTAAGGCGACGGCAGTATTTTGTTCCTGGCCCAAACTCTTTGTGGCATATAGATGGCCACCATAAGCTTATCAGGGTCAGTGATATTAGCAGATAAACAATGCATCTTTCTATATGTTTTCATTACAATTGTTATACAATAAAGTTATATTTTTTCATGTGTTTGCAACAGGTGGAGATTTGTTGTCCACGGTGGGGTGGATGGATTCAGTCGTTTAGTGGTCTACCTGACTGTGGCCGGCAATAATAGAGCTCATACGGTCTTACAGAGCTTTATCGCCGCTGTTGAGCAGTATGGGCTGCCATCAAGGGTACGGTCTGACAAAGGGGGGGAGAATGCAGATGTAGCAGAATTCATGATCAGAAGCAGAGGTACCGACAGGAATTCACACATCACAGGCAGAAGTGTCCACAATCAGCGGTAAAGAAATATGTTTGGCAACTAGGCTCACACAACTAACATACTAGTTGAATGTACTTTAGCATATGTCATAAATTAACAATTTCTCAATTTTATCCTAAACACAGAATAGAGAGGATGTGGAGAGATGTTTATGAACATGCCCTGGACCTCTTCTATCAGATCTTTACTTCATTGGAAGATCAGGAGACACTGAATCCAGACAATGAAGTCATCTTTTCGCTCTGCACCGGATTTCCTTCCACTGGTTCAGCAAAGCCTCGACTCTTTTCGAGATGCTTGGAACTTCCACGGTCTTAGAACTGAAAGGAATCAGTCACCACAGCACTCTGGAGAAGTTACAGAGAGCAAGGCCCTGAGGAGGATCCTACTGAGGTTAACAATGAACTTTAAACACTTTCTTTAAAATTGTTTCCCCAAAGGAATTATGGGAGAAAAAAATGGTGCTAAATGTGATACTTTAAATGAAACATTTACTATAGATTATTGTCTCTTAAAATCTCCCGAGCTTTTAAAGATCAACCTGTGAGCTGTAGTTTCTACATGGGTTTCTAAAGCAAAGCTGTATTTTTAAAAAAAAAATGAATAAGTAACATTTTCATTTTTCCCCTGCCTTTGGGGACCCAAAAAAACAATCTTGTTAAGGAATGTCCAAAAAAGTTTTTTAAATACAATGATTATGTTGTATCCCTTCAGTTTTCCCGGGGGGAAAAATATTGGGGTCGATTGGGAAAGGACCTCAAGCCTTCCCTTTGAGGGCCCCCGGGGTCATCCCCGAGGGTTTAGCGGGCCCGTGAGCTCTCAGGGGGAAGGTTGCAAATTTTTCCGCTCCAGGAGGTTTTTTTTTCTGATGCACTTAGACATTGTAAAGACTGTGGAAGTTTTTATCAAGAATTTTTAGACTGTGTCCAACCCCCGTTTTTTTTTGTTGTGTTAGAACAACAAGGAAAAACTGAAAATTTACTTCCTTTTAAAAGAAAGGAAAAAAAACTGTTTTTTTGAAAACTTCCTGTCCATTTTGGTCCAAAGAAAGACTAACATTAAAAGCTGTAATGTTGCAGAAGGTGCAAACCTTTTTATTTTGTAATGGAAGAAAAAAAAAAAATCCCAAAAAAAGCACAGTGGTTTTTGTTTTTAAAAAAATGAAATTGTTCAAAATTTTAAAACTAACCCGTGTTGGGGAGGGGCATAAAGGGGTTTGGGGAATTGGGAAAATTTAAATATCACAAATTTTTTAAAATAAAAAACCTTTAAAGGCATATTGCCCATATTTTAAGGTTTACAATTTGGGGCATTCACAAAAATCTTCCCATTTTTTAATTTTGGAAAAAATAACTTCATTTTTGGGGTTAATGATAAGGGTAAAAAAGGGAAAAAATTTAAAAAGCTAGAACAGTTGGAAATTTTTAGAAAATGACAAACACTTTACTGTATGCAGCCTTTGAAAACCCGGAAAAAAAACACCATGAACCCATATTTAAAAACTTCAAAAACTAAGGTGCTTTTTTAAATTTCATTTGGACCTAATCGCCTTTGGCCCGCCTTTTTTTGGTTTTCCTTACGAAAAAAAATACCTTTTTACCTGCTAACATATTTCTTTTTTTACACCTGCTCCGTCGAGGTTTCCCAAACAGCTGGGGGCGAGGAGAAGGGGGACGTGAAAAACCCCGCAGGGCTGCTGATTGGGGCGGGAAAAAATCGTTCCCCGATCACCCGCATTTTCCACGACAGGAAAAAGCATTTTTTTAAAAAGTTTAGCCAGCCCTTTGGGGGTTTTTCTGCCGGGGGTCCCCGCAGGCCCCCTTTCCGTAGCTACAAGGGCCTGATGGGTTTTACTGGGGCGCTGGTTTTGTGGGAATGTGGGGATGTTTTGTGTCGGCCCATAAAGTGTGTGTGGGGTGGGGCGGCCCCCCGAGTAGCCACTCTTAAAATTTCCAAAAAATATGGGAGAGAAACAAAGCGAGTACGGGTCTAAGGGCTATAATGTGATCAAAGGTGGGAAATCTGGAGATTTAAAGTTAATATCTCTTTGATATCATGTTGTTTACGGAGAATGAAAGGAAAAAAAAGCGGCGGGGATTTTTCAAAAGGGAAGCAAATTTCTAAAGCCACGCCCCCGGGAGTCGCATGACGACCAGCCACGCGGGGGCAACCAAAATCTGCAATGGGAAACGGACGGGACAGCAGTCGAGGGGAGGCGAGTCAAGTAGGTTAAATGGTAAAGGAAAACATTAAAACGATATCAGTCTATTCACGATAGTATAATATTAAAAAAAATTCCCAAGCCCTAATTGACGTCTTTAAAAAACTTAAAAAAAAGCCCAAATCCAGCCTTTTTTTTGGGAGCGCAAATGCTTTTTTCCCAAAATCCCTGTGAGTTTTTTAAATGAGCTTGGGAGGGTTTGGGTTTTAAAGCAAAAGTGGAGGACGTAGGGAAAGGGTTTCCCCCAGAATCTCCACTCTCATTTTGGGGGGAAGCAAACTCCCACCCAACCCCAAAAGTCCCGCAACTGGGCCCCGGGTACCCGATGAAAACTAAAAAATTAAAATGGATTAAGAATTTAGTTTTAACTGTAATTTTTTTATATCTAAACCTTAGACATAGAAGCATTTTTAAAGAGAGAAATAAGGTTTAACCCGTTTCAATGAAACCTTAGGGAAAACCAGTTATCGGGAGGTGGTGTCTAAGTCAAAGTCTTCATCATCCCCTGTCCCCAAAATGGCCCCTGTTAAATTTTTTTAGGAGCATCTTAAAGAAACAAAAATTTTTAATTTAAAAAAAGGGGAAAAACTTATTTTTGGGGGGACTAGCAGATCAAATTTTTTAGAAAATGGAAAAAAAATCCAATTTTCAGTCCTTTAAAAACCCGTAAATTTAATTTAAATTTAAATCACCCAAAAATAACTAAATTTGACTTACCTGGGGGTGGGAACTGCATTTTAGCCATTTTGGGGAAAAAAGTGGTACAAAATCCCCCCCTAGATGTAAAGGGAAAAGGGGGCCCTACCATCACATCTTTTAGTCCCTTTCTCAAATGTTTTTATTTGGGGGCCCTTTTCCCCCCCAAAAACCCAAAAGACAGGGCCCAAAAAAATATACAAACCCAAATCCTTAACCCAAATTTTTCAAAAGTTGGCCCCAGTAGGGGAAAAAAAATTTAAAAAACACAATTAAAATGGGTTTTTAAAAAACCCTTAAAACTCCTTTTAAATTTTTAAAACCCCAGGTTAACCAAAAACAAGCCCGGGGTTTACAAAAAACATTTTTATAATTTTTAACAAGTACAAAACGATGCTTCGGCACTTAACCGCCGGAAAAATCACTGCATGGATAGAAGTTTGTTAAAAAAGCCAAACTCCGATTTGTTTTTGGGGCTGCCAAGAAATCCCAAAAACTGGAAAAGATCTGAAAACTGTGTCCCTTTGTTTCCCGGGGAAAAAATCTTTATGTTTTCAAGTAGAATTAAGACCATAAAAAAGTTATTATACTGGGCCCAAAACAATTTTTTTTCATGGAAAAGTTTTTTTTTTTAAATTACATACCCGTTCTAAAGATCTCCCCGATTTTGCAATCAGGACAGTTTCGGGAACAACAGGGGCCATTTCAGGGTCCCCCTTGAACAGTACTGAAAACGCAGGGCTAGTCCTGTGACATGGGGGCCCCTCATGCAGAAAAAAGGGGTGGCCCAACTTCCCCCTGCACCCCGGGAAAAGGTTTTCTTTCAATAAGTTTCCTATAGCTGGGGAACCCAAAATGGCAGGTTACCCTCAAATAGGGAGTTTTGGCCATTCCTCCTGTAAAAATACCAAGAGACAGGGAAAAAAAGTCACAACAATTTAAACCCCCTTAAAACATTAAATTAAAAAAAGTTGATAGAAGTAGATAGAAGATTTGATAGAAGATAGATAGATAGATAAAATTACATCAACTAGTGGCGATACTTGGCCCGTGGGTTTTTTGCTTGTTAAAAAATTCAATTAAAAACCAAAAGGGAGCCTACTCCCCAAAAAACTTACCGAAAACCCCAAAACCCCTTCAATTCAATTCCCCTGGATACCTACTCCCCCTTCCCCGACACAAAAAAAATGGGGCCCCCCGCCCCTTCCGCCCAAAAAAAGCACATATCCGCGGTTTATCAACCACCAAAAACGTACGTGTTTGGCGTGGGGGGGTGGGCCGGGGCCCCAGAGAGAGAGGGGGGTTTTGTAGAGTGAGCAAGACACAAAAAGGGGTTTTGTCCGGCGTTGCTGGTTTGGGGAATGGCAAGCAGGGAAGGGGCGGAAAAGCCCCAAAAGGGGCTTCTTTACCTATAAAAATGTAACGCTTTTTTTTGCGTTTTTCCAAAAAGTCGTCAAACTTGGCCCCTGCACTTAAATCGGGGCCAACAAAAAGACACCTTCAAGTTTGAAATCCATCGGACTAACTGAGAGACATGCGCTACAGACAGACATTTCTGCAATTTATAGATGGATTAACCTTCAAAAAATTAGTAAGATACTTACCAAGATCTAGACTGAATCCAACATGGAGTTTGGATATGATTGTGTCATTAAAGTACCGCATCACTCCCTCTCCGATAGCAACATCACCTGAAATAAATACTGATAATAACACTGGAAAAAAAGTGGCGGCCCTAATACAGGTAACTGGATTTGGTAACATTTAACAAGAAAGGGAGAAAAACTTCATATTGGCTGTAATTCTAGAATAGCATCCTTAATATTGATTATTCCAGATAACAAGAGTATATGTGCACAATATTCACATACCATACATATAACATTTTTATCAATTATATAATTTTGTGCATTCCATTCTCCCATTTAACAATTCCATATAAGCTACTTGAGTGGTATAAACTGTACTGATGTATTTATATTATAAATGTTATATTACTTACCAACCCAGAGTACAATGAAGTGGGACATGCCCATTCTTGCTGCTGTTTATAGAATAAGAGAAGCTCCCGTTCCCTGTCCTCTTCAGAGTCCCTTACATCCATCTTCATTCTAAGTGGTTTCCCAGTTGCATGTTCCCTTAGCAGATTCTCTTTGAAAACTTTGGCAGCTTGAGTGGGTTCTTTAATAAGCTTCCATTCTAAACAAACAACAACAATAAAGTTATCTATTACAGAGAGACATATTGTGAGTTGGCATGTTACCTGCATATACAGATATCCTCTCACTCTACAGAACAGGAGGAAAATTCTGTTCATTTCACTGACAAAACGTGAGACCCAACATCTTCAGAACCTGTCACAACGCTGAGTTGACATAAAAACAGCACTACTAAACAACTACAACTAAATATTAGAAAAATAGAAAAACCCAGTTGCATGTTATTAATTGTCTGTAACTGTATTATCTTATCTAATTATATCCTACAG